ACGCTGTATTTGGGTCTAAAAAAAATATGAAATTTTGAGTAGATTAAAGACACAACCTACTTCATTGAAATCTTGGTTCAGAAGAAAGAAATGGTGTCCTAAGAAGTTAAAATGGCTGAGAAAGCCACTAGGGGGACATTCTGAGCTTCTGATTGGTTATTAATGTCATACATAGAAGTAAATATATATAAGGGCGCATTTCCAAAAAATGGAAAAATGTGGGTGGGGTGGCACTGTGTTCGATTTATTATATGAGCAATATCTTAGAAAATAGAAAAGATAAGACCTTATTATTATATATTGTAGCTTGTCAATATTGGTAATAAAACTTAGTGTTTTGACTTCACAAACATTTAATTTGAACCAGTGCTACATTCAACTTACAATGTGACACACAAAAATCAGTGTTTATCTGTGTTTTTTTAATATTTGCTTTTAAATTAAGAAATTGAGTAATATATAGTACTAAAATTTGAATTAAAATCTACAGTTTGATACCAAACTTATTGACATAAATTCAAGAAATAGTAGTTCAATAAAATTTTGAATGCGAGTCAACAAACGAAATGACATGGCCTTTCACCCGTGACCCATCTTGAAAGGGTTAAACAGTTGGTCTGCTGTATAATATCAAATAATGTCATATCATTATTCACACACCTAAATGAATTTAGGTTAATGTTTGGTGATTTAGAAAGAACTCCAAAAACCCCACAAACAGAACAAGTATATTGCTTTTAAAATAATAATATAAAAAAATCTCTTCTGTAAACTAATCTATTCAATTTTTACAGATGTTATGGCTTCACTAACAAAAATACCATGGGTATTTCTAGAGTAATACAACATGAACATATTTTAATAACTGGCAAGTAGTGTTAAAAGTACAAACCTGGAGTATTAGTAGGTACTGGAACTTTGTTTGTATGTAATGCAGAGCAGACAGGAAGCCTCCAAGGGTCATTAACTGTATCAACCAATGGTTGAGTAGTTGGTAAACCCCATGGATCTGCAATCTAGGAAAGAAGGGACTGTGTACTTTCAGCAAACATTTAGATTAAAAACGAAAACACTGCTACAAAACCTATTGTTGTACTTTAAACCATACAGGGCTCCCAATTGCATTTTAAAGAAAATACAGCTTTAACATGAAAATATTTGTTTTTATTGGTTTTCTGGCTAATTTCTTTGAAAACTACCATTTTTCTGACCTGAAACACTAATAAAATTACAATATAACTGGAACCAAAATGTTTTTTTTTATCTCTTTTCAAAGTATGCTTTTGTTATAGATTTTGTTTACATTTAAAATGAATAACTTTATCCTTTTCTCCAAAGTACTATTTTTAGCACACTTTTATGAAAATTAAAAATTACATACAAATGTAGTTCAGGTTGGTTGACAAAATACTGGTTTCTACACATATTTTCACAAAAGTTAACATTTTCCTAAACTGAAAATGTATTTCCAATAATACTTACCTCCACTGACACTATAGCTATTTCTCGAACTCCAGGGTTTCCACTCTTTACCCATCTAAGCATGGAAAATGCTTGCTCCAGTCTTTTATACCCCACTCAAATGCCTTAGCAAATTCTAATTTGCAAAGTTCTCCACCAGCTTCAATGCACCCTCTATCTAGGTACTATATATATAAGCACCTCATTCAGATAATGTAATCACTTTTTTGAGACATAAACTGGCTTTTATTGAGGAGGTAGGGCTGGTGAGTGTCCATTGTAAAGCAACCAGGATCTAAAAATTGGTTGAGTCAAAACAAATCGATGATTGGACGTCAATCTCCTGTTTTCTTGGGTACAACGAATAAGCAAAAATAAAATCCCGGAAGAACGTAGATCTGTTGGAGGTGAAAAGGAAACCCATTGTACAGATAATAGTGGAGGTGATGTAAATTGAATGACCAATCCTGAAGCCAGAACATGAAGTACCCATGGATCCATGGTGAAAAAACTCCAGATGTCCAGAAGGTGATGTAATCATGCTCCCCTGTCCACGGGATAGTCGCCAACGCTGTTGTTGATGGTCTGCCTGAGCCAAAGATCCTCGAGAATACAGACAGACTCTATTATGGGTACCAATACACCTGGGAACCGATAGAGGGGGTTGGGAAACACTACGAGCCAACACTCCCAAATTAGCACCAGAAAGGCAAGAAGCCAATGACAATAAAGAAGAATGTAAACAAGCTGAATCAATTCGTGATTCTAACAACTCCGGCAAACAACATTGGGTGCAGAAAACGAGCTTCCCCTAACTCCCTGAGGGCAGAAGATGGTAAATGAACACTTTCTAACAAAGCATCTCTACCCAATAAATCACAACAAACCAGGCAGGAAACCAGAGAAAGAACTAAAGAAGACAATCTGACTGAGAAGTCATCCTCATATTGCTGAGGGGAACATTGATAGGCTTCTGACAAAAGTTGAATTGAAGATAAATACCTCAGGACAGTCGTGAGAGTATGACGATTCCAAGAAAACTGTGATCTGTTTAAAGTGATCACAGGTTCCAATCTAGACCCCAACAGGTCCAAAAGGGGGGTCCATCCATTGAGAATCTAAATATACCTCCTCCTAGCAGTGATATGCCAAAACATGCTGTTTCGATAAATGTGGGAGACAAGGCATAGCTATCCCGTCACGTAACTGAGCGGCAAACCTCCCAGCATTTACAGCAATATCAGGAGAAGGAGGAAAAACTAAGTAGTCACTTGATGTCCTTTCTGCCAAAAAGGAAGGAGTAGAGTCAAATGCAACAGAAGAAACTCCCAAAACCTCACAAACCAGAGTAACCAACTGAAGAAAAGGGGCTGGAGGTGGCTGATCAAGATGATCCTCTGTTGAGGCCGACCTAGTAAAAGAAGAAGCAGAAAAAGCTAGTCTAAATTCTCTCTAGCTGGTCCTGGGTCATTTGCAAAAGCCACCTCAGAACCCTCTGGGGAGACATCCTCAGTTCACATATATGTCTCCATCTCGCAATGGATCATATCATGGATGGTTTCGACTGATAAGTGACCCCTGAAAAAGTATGATTGGCCTCCATAATAGAAACATTATTTCGGGAACTCATACACATCAGTACGTATTTATTTTTTGTTTGTTTGTTAAAGTAATTTATAAATATAAACGAAGATATAATTGTACTAATGGCAACCACATTCAAAGTTGCAATGCAAATTGTAAATAATCCCAACTCTCCTGTTTATAGAAACCCATGCCAAATGCTTTGTTGAGAAAAAGTAATTAAATTTTCTGAATGAGATGCTTATATACAGTACCTAGATAGAGGGCACACTGAAGTTGTGGAGAATTTTGCAAATTAGAATTTGCCAAGGGCATTCGAGTAGGGTATAAAAGACTGGAGCAAGCATTTTCAATGCTTGGATGAGCAAAGAATGGAAACCCTGGAGATTGAGAAATAGTTATAGTGTCAGCTGAGGTAAGTATGTTTTGGAAATTAGTATCAAAATATAGCCATTAACAGGTTTTATAGATTCACTGCAAAATTTGTCCTTACTAAAAACAAAAAAAACTTAGATCCTTTTGAATACAAATGTACAACTCTCATAAGTAAAAAATCTTTGAACTTGTCTCTTCTGATTTTTTCCTTGCATCCTACTAATAATTTTTGCATAAATTTTACTGTTTACAACATAAATGAGATTAGTGCTCACACCTGTGATGGTTGGATTGTTCTGGGCATTCCCCAAGGATCAGTTGTTTCTGGTTTTTCAAAAGATGTACCCTCACTTTCATTACCCAATTGTAGACCTAACAAGTCATCCATTACAGATTGGTCTGAAGTAACAGTGGTGAATGTATTAGAAGATTGGGTGTTGTCTGTATGACTGTAGCTTACTTCACTCTCTGTCAGAGCCATTTTAAGTCGTAGTTCATCATTCTGTCTCATTCTTTCTTCTTGATCCGCTTCCTCTTTGCTCATAGCTAGAGCTAATTGAAGTTGAAGTTCCTCTTCACCTGAAGTCTGAGGTCTTGCATTTTCCAACTCTGATGAAGATGTTACATGCCCAGGGAATTCTGATGGTGGAGAAAGAAAACTAAATCATTTAGTTATAAAATGAAGATAAAAAAAATGATGACCTTTAAAGCTCAATAATGACAATGCTATTGCACAAATACAACAGTGTAAGTACAACACATTTTGAAAATTAATACCAATAAAAACTTGATAACATTAACTTAGTTATGTCAGAGAACCTTTTACTGATACAGTTTCAATAAACTATTCATAATGACAAAAATTTAACAGTGAAGCAACTTTCTCGGAAAGTTTACGGCACACAGTAAACTTCCAACACTTATTTAATGTTTGGCTATAAAACAGAAAATTATCAGTCATCTCCACTAGATGCTAAGAAATAGTGTGTTACATACAGGAGAAATATAAAACACTGGTGTTACTATAACATGTCCCTCACCTAAGCAAATTTACAAAACTAAATTAAAACTAGTTATAAGGATACAATAGTCCCGGGAAATAAAATATTCTACAATAAAAGTTGAAATACAAGCCCCTTCCCAAACCAAATTTCAATACACTTTTTTTATTAAATTGATTAACACACCCCATGTTTATACTGATTTATTCAAAAATAATTTGTCCCAATTCTGAGTAATTGAATGCAGACATGTGCAAACACAGAAAAATTATGTATCCCCACACTCAATTCTCAGGATGACAGCCACTTTTCATAATGATTTTACTAAGCAAAGGGGTTTTCATATCAGTTATTATAGTTATTCAATATCAGTGTTAGATAAAACAAGATTTTATTCACCTATAAGATAAAGACACAAAAAAATACCCCTTGTCAATTTTCCCAGTTCCAAAGTTAGTATTTTTTTTACCAGTATAAAGCATGTCTCACTAACTGCAAAGTGCATGTAGAAACATGGCTAAAAGATTTCTAAAAGCAATTAATACTAAACAGAGAGCATTATGATACTTTTCTACTCATACAAATAAAGCCTAGGTTAGTAGATTTTAAGTAGAAAAACAAAACACTACTGAAGAAAAAGATGACAGATTTCCAACTAACTTTTACTTTCTTATATTAAAATTCATTTTAAACATTTTTCAGGACTATGCAAAGTTTTTGTGAAAATTCAAAGTAGATTGATACATGTGTCATGTTTACATGCTTGTAGACAAGGAAAATGGAAATTTTTTTACTAGTTATGTCTTCATAGAGAGTTATACTTGTTTTTCTGTTGTTTTTTCTTCTTTCTTTCCTTCTTGTTCCAAACATCTTTCAATTGATTGCCATTCCTTCAATTCTCATTGGATTGACTTGATCCTTGGTAGGTTTATACCTTGGTTCAATATGCTCATATACCTTTATCATTTTTTTTTTATTTAGGCCTTTTTAAGAATTTTATGGGGTCAAAGATAAAACAATCCAAAAACGTATATTTTGTACTCCTGTGCAGTCATATTTACAGCAATCAAAATGAAAACTGACACAAGTATACAATTTCATGTGGCCAACACATTGGCATATAAAAATAAAATGGAGTTGTTTATTTTGAACTTTTTAGGGGGAGGGGTCAAAGCTTACAAAAAAGCATAATTATGGAGGTTTTGGTCAATTACTTGGTAGTATTTGACTAATTTACAAAGGATTTGATACAAAGATACTTTTCTACAGGTCCTACACACCGACAACCAAACATGGTAGATTTGCCCATTTTTAGTAATTATAGAAGGGCCAAGATGCCACAAAAGGAATAATTTTAGGATTTTTTAACAATTACTCCACTGTATTTCAGCAATTTTACATGGGATTTGGTTCAAAGAAACTTTTTTTGCATTCCCACACAGGAATTTTGTCTTTTACTCAATTTTTCAGCAAGGAAAGCACAATCTGAGGTTTTTATAAACTATTCATGTGTATGTCAACCAACTTGCATGGAATTTCATACAGAGTTACCTTTTTGCAGGCTGCAAGCAGTAACATAGGCAGGAATTGATTTTTCTGTGTTTTTCTACTTTCATCACTGCCCATGTTGCATTCAACCATGAATGATGGCCTCTTTAATTATATCTTACTTTCAAATTTAGTCTAACAACTTACATTTTCAGGACCATAAGAAAACAATAGCAATGAATTAACTTCATGAAAAGCCTAAACCAAACTTTGTGTGTTGTGATCTCATAATACTTATAGATAGAAAGCTATGTTTAAATAGTTTCCATATTTTCTTAACTCAAGTTAATAATTGTTTATATTCATAAAAGGTTGCTTATCATTTAAGTGAAACTTCTACCCACTTATAAAAAAAAAAGCAAAATTTAGCTGGGGAATATCACTTAATTTTTCTTTGGTGGAAGACTTCACTTCTGTTGAAATTAAGAACGATATAAACATAATCACTTATGTTTTGTCTTTTTCTAAAGCTTAACTTGATATATTTTCAAGGCTTGTGTTTGGTTCTCAAATTTGGGGGTCACTTGAACCTTAATTGAGATGCTAAATCATCTTGTAAATAGGCAACTGCTGCAAACACAGTTGCTGTTCTCCACTTTACTAACATCAAGTTCTCACAGGGTTTGATTTACTACAAATTCAAATACTTTTTTCCTATTGATTGTAGAAATACAACATAGATCTCCCTACACAAAAATCAAACAGAAAACTATGCCAGGTTGTATATTTAACAGAAAGTTTAAACCACTATAATTTACTAACAAGAACTGTAGAACAAGTGTAATTTAACTTTGGTTGAGATGTTTTAAACTATAAAGTCTTGCCCTGCCACTCACATTATACATTACCAATCTTAAGTTTTTTCCTAGGTCAACTCCATTATATTTTCAAGCTTTCTTTACTGATTGACAGCTAAATCAGCAGCACAAAAGGCATCTGCTGGCTGAAAAATAGCAATGGATGCCAACCAAGTATATATAACAGAAACAGTTACCTACACAGTTACATATGTCAAAGCTGTGTTAATTATTAATTTTTGCCCTGCTGAATTCACTACTCACTGAAGTAGTATCAAACAAATATTAAAATGTTCTGCATTAGTACTGATGCAATGTTTATAAACCAAGGTTTCAGATTGCATTAGATTTTATCACTGATGAAGGCGGTTGTGCACTAATTCATGCCTTGTATTTTGTAGTTATTATTCAAGATTATCTGGATTTTATAAGACTATGGGATCAATGCAACAAGTTCTAGTCCAATCATCTTTGAGGTATCAGTTTCACTCACACTACTAATACATATCATACAACTACAATAACACAAATGCAAGACTTTTTGAAAAATCATCCTGTTTTTCAATTTCTTCTATTTTTTATTCATAGCTGACTTTAAATGAGGTTAATATTTTTAAAATTTTGGTACTTGTGTTTTAAAGAAACTTAAAGTAACTTAGCAAAGAAATATTTTAATAAAATGCAAAGCACTTCATTAGTTTTAAGATACTAAGCAACTTAATTTTTTACATATCATTAGTATTTTTTTAATATACATATATATTATATTATATACTAGCTACATAATTTTACAGAATAAAATAAAATGGGTGGTTCATAAATCCTGCAAAATTGTCAGAGAAACATATGCAAATGGAAAAATATATACATACAGATGTACTGTTTAGCCACCAGAGGATTGTTCAGGTAGAATCAAAACAGAAACATATATGTGAAGAAGAATATCAAAGCTTACCACTTGCAGAAAGCATAGCTAATTTTGCTGTAATACAAAAATAGATACAACAGTACTGCAACAGTAACTGCAAGAACCATACCAAAGGCACAATTCTAAGATCAGTGGTAACCAGACTAGAGGAATGAACTTTTTCAGACCAGAATTGTAGCAACTGATATTAGTGAAGTGTCCTCTGGTGGCCAAACAGTTGCATCATAGTGTGTTTCTGTTATTAGATTTTATTTTTTTGCATATCCTTATCCATGTGCCCTCCAGTTTTCACAATGCTTTGACAGTGTAGGAATCACTCTGTACATGCAAAATGATAACACAAAACTACAGGGCTTCCCATAGTCTATGTTACCTTAGTCACTTGTTTAACAAAGATCTGTAGTAAAAGCTAATAGGCATAAGTTCTTTTCATTTATGTTGAAAATTAAATTTACATGATTTTTTTCTGAATGCAAGTAAAGGGTACCTTCTGAGTCAAGCTTTCGAGCTTCAACCTTTCATTGTTTGTAGTTTTATTAATTAATTTTGAAATATTACCTTTCTTATACCCACAGATGGGTGTCCAGCACAAAGTCTAGATAAACTCTTGGTTAAAGAGAACAAGAACACCTTCAGGTGGTAAATAATGTGTGGTGAAGTACATTAGAGCAGAAAAAGAAGGGAAAAAAAGATACATTGTGTACGTATGTAGACTTCGTGGTTATTGGAAATATCATTTGTATACATTACTTTACATTGAGAGGTTACAAATATCATCAAATAATAAGCAAAAAAATAGTATGATTACTAAAACAAAATAATACAATTGTTGGGGCAGTATACAATCAATTTATTGTGCAATAAGAATTTATAATAATATCAACATCAATAATTTCAGTGAAGCAACATAGATGGAGAAACAACAGTTTAAACACACACTTTGTTACTAACAATTACGTACCACCTTCAAATGAATAGTTGCTTATGTCATGTATTGAGAAATTAATAAACTAATATTGAAAAGGTCTCAAGCATTGTTAATCATGAGTTAATAAAATG